AAGAAAACCAATTCTTGGGAAAAAAGTGCCATCAAACATGGCAAAAGTGGGAAATGGAATTTCAATTCCATTTTCCATGGAAAAAAAAGGCCTCTCAAACAGGCCCTAAATGGACTAATAGATTTAGAGTATGTGAAAAAAAAAAAGAGTTCGACGACTAAAGTTCTACCTTTTGAAAGCTACACAACACATATGCTTTAGCCTTTACACAGTTTGTTTTTGTCTTCTGGTGTTGACATGTGTTCGGAAGCTAAAGTCTCTCTTATACAGCTATACACGACCAAAAGAAAGCATTCTTCTTTCACGAGTTTTTAACCCATGATTTATTATTAACAAAAGTAATTTTAAAAAGAGTATTGTGTCTTTAATTCGAAAATGTGGTAGTCTTTAATATCCTATTTCGATATACAAGTTGTATTACATGCTTGACAAATATTTTTGGCTAGCCATGTGAAGATGCTTAGTCATTTGCAAGCAGGATACACTTTCTTGGCCATTATAGCAATATGTATGGAGATACTAAGTGTTAGCCTCTTAAAAGTTGATATGCACAATGGCATGGGCATGCCTTGCCCTCATGCCAGAATTTTGCCGACATGTGTGTTGGTGGTGCAGGAAAATGTAGGTTTCCATTTGTGGGCCGTTGTCAAAGTGTTGCGGATTGGCAGATATTGATAAGGTATGGATGAATCCAGCTTGCTGTTCAGTGTGCTCTAGTCCACAAATTCGGGTGTCCAAATCAAGCACATGTTTGACACATGTGTTGGGCAGTATTTGTGATCCATATAAGTGGAAAGTATGGACAATTGCTGGGAATTGTAGTGGGAGGCAGTTTTCTGGCAGTTTTAGTCATATTGTGTAGGTTTATCCATTTGGCAATTAAGGGTGTTAATTGCATACAAATTTTGGCTCTATATATTTGAAGGTTTGGACTGATGAGACATAGAGAGACGGTGTTGTCTTCCTTCGTGTTCTTGTATTATTGTGGAGCAATAAACAAGTTGGAATTTTACCTGTAAATTCTGTGTTCCTTTTATATTATTGCATTTATCTTTCTTCGTGTGCATTGTGCAAATTCGTGGGCTGATTGAGTGGAACCTCCGTGCCATCACATGTGAAAATTTGGCTAAGTATTTTACAAAGAATTCGTCTATCTAATAATTGGTATCATAGCTTCCAAGTTGTAGTTACTGGGTTTCGTTTGCAGGCATGGCTGGAAGTCAGAATCTTAAGGACCAGGTTGCTGCTTTGGAGGATTTTTTTGGTGCTACTATGACCAAACTGGCTGCACAAATCATTGTGCACTGAATAAGGTGACGGTGAATGATGATTCCATGAGGATGAGCTTGCGCTAAATAAGGTGACGGTGAAGAACAAATATTCGGTACCTAATGTTGTTGATTTATTTGATCGATTGGCGAAGACTTTATTTTTTTCCAAGCTGGATTTGCGATCGGGCTATGACAAGTAAGAATAGCTGAAGGGGATGAATCAAAGACTGTCTGGGTGACTAGGTATGGTTTTTTTGAATTTCTGGTTATGCCCTTTGGTCTTACTAATGCACATGCTATTTTTTGCAATTTGATGAATGATATATTGTACGGGTTTTTGATTAATTTTGTGGTGGTATATTTGGATGATATTTTGATATATAGTAGATCACTGGGTGATCATGTTTTCCACTTGAGAAAGGTGTTCTCATGGTTTAGAAAACATCAATTATATGTCAAGAAGGAGAAATATAAATTTTACAATTCAGAGGTGGTGTCTTTAGGACATTGGGCTGGCCAAGAAAAAATCAGAATGGATGGAAATAAGGTGAAGGCTATCATGGAGTGGCCAAGTCCATTCAGGGTTGCTGAATTACGTTATTTCCTTAGATTAGCGAACTACTATCGGCGTTTCATTCAAAGCTACTCCAAGAAAGTAAACGCCTTGACGGATGTACTAAAAAATGATTGGAAATGGGAATGGACCGATGAATGACAACGAATTTTTGAGAAGTTAAAAGAGGCCGTTTCAACTGAATCGGTGTTGCAGCTGCTTAACTTTGAGAAGCCGTTTGAAGTACGTGATGCATCGACTGTGCTATTGGAGGTGTATTGGTACAAGAAGGCCATCCGATTGTTTATGAAAGTCGAAAATTGAAAGAGGCAGAACAACGGTATTCAACCCATGAGAAAGAGATGACGGAGGTTGTTCATTGCCTTGAAACTTGGTGTCATTATTTGTTAGGAATGAGATTCACTATTCTAATGGATAATGTAGCTAACACATATTTCAGGTACCAAAAGAAGTTTTCTGCAAAACAAGCGAGATGGTAAGAGTTTTTGGTTGAATTTGATTTTGTATGGGTTCATAAGCCTCGCAAGTAGAATCAAGTTGCTGATGCACTCAGTCGAAAACTCGTGAAAGCTTATGTACCGGCTTTGATGATAGCCGAATATGATTTTCTTGACAGAATAAAATAATGGACTGAAAAGGATGTTGCTTATGCTAAGTTGTTGTAGGAAATTAAAGATGGCTTGGTAAGATGGTAGTGGATTGAAGACGGTTTGATCTATACCAAAGGCATCATTGCCTTCAGGTGAGGGACTGAGATAAGTATTGTTGAAGGAAACTCATGATCCACAATGGACTGGTCATTCGGGCATCGAAAGGATGTTAGCTTTGCTCTGAAAATCATATTACTGGCCAAATATGGGTGATAAGGTAGAGACATGTGAAATTTTATTCCAGCTCTGCATGAGTGTACAACTGACGTTGCTGCTGGATTATTTTTCAAAAATGTTTTGAAATACATTGGAATACTCGAGGGTATTGTGAGTGATCGGGATTCTCGACTTACATGCAAAATTTAGACTATGCTGTTTAACATGATGGGGGTCTGAATTGAAGTTTTCAACAGCAAATCATCCGCAGGCTGATGGTTAGATGGAAAGGATTAATGCATTGCTGGAAGAATATCTCAGACATTATGTTATAGCAAGTTAAAAAAATTGGGTTACCTTGCTTGAAACAGCTTAATTTTTCTACAATCTACATCAATCCTCTGCTACAAGTATGTGTCTGGCTGAGTTAACTATGTAGCATATGCCCAAGACGCCTCTTGAGATTGTAAAACAACGAGGATGCAGTGTGTGCCCAGATGCTTTTCGATTTGCACAAGATAAATGCGATGATTGAGCAAGCTAAAGACAATCTTGCGAAAGCTACCCGACAAATGAAGAAGTATGCTGATCAGAGCATGAGAGATGTAGAGTTTTAGGTTGGGGATAAGGTGATGCTGAAATTAACTCCCCAGATTTGGAAGAAGATTAGTAGCAAAATCGTGCATCATGGGCTGGTTTAGAAATATGACGGTCTCTTCGAAGTAATCATAAGTGTGGGAAGGTAGCATATCAGCTGAAGCTACCTGATCGTTTGAAGGTTTATCCTGCTTTCCATGTGAGTTATTTGAAGCCCTTTAATGAAAGTTTGGTAGGAGAAGATCGATTATAGGCCAAGAGGGCTCTTCCTAAGATAAGAAAACAATATGATAAGGATGTGGCAAAGATTCTGGGTTATCAGACAATTGGGACGAGTAAGAAAAATAGAAGAACAATCTATCTTGTCTTGTGGAAGGGTAGTAGTGGGATTGATGCAACCTATGAAAGGGATATCGATTTCTGGTAGTTTGAGGATAAGGTGAAGAAATATCTTGATTCTCTTCCGACGAGGATGTCGGATTCTTCCGATGGGGAATGCTTGTTAGTCTCTTAAAGGTTGACATGCACAATGGCGTGGGAACGCCTTGCCTTATGCCGAAATTTTGTGGACATGTGTGTTGATGGTGCACACTTCGGATTTCGGAGCAAGGACAATGTGCGTTTCAATTTGTGGGCGTGATGCTTCAATTTGTTGGTGTTAAAGTGTTGCATATTGACGGAAATTGGCAAGGCATGGATGGATCCAACT